ATGGGAGTGAAGATAGATGGTCGGCAACTATACCACCTTATGCTTTACTGATGACATCGTTCTAATAACAGAAAACATCAGCAAGTGGCACAGATGCTGGTAAACTTCGACCGTGAATGTGGAAAGGTCAGATTACAGCTGAATCTCACAAAGACAATGTTCATGAGAAGGTCTTGTTCCTGACGTTCCATTCGCTCTCAGCAGAATGACCATTTTCGAATGCAACGGTTATGTACCTAGGTTGAGAAGTCAACATGACGAATGGCCTGGCACCTGAATTGCATAGGAGGAAGAGAGGGGCTTGGAATGCCTTCAAGAGCGTCAAAGAAATAACAAAGATGACGAAGAACCTCCAGCTCTGAGCACATCTCTTCAATTCCACTGTTCTTCCTGCATTAACATATGCCTCAGAGACCCTACAAAAACAGGATAAGAATGCTATTTGGGTCTCTCAAAGAGGAATCGAAAGAGCCATTACTGACTGGATTCCACGGGACTTCAAAAGATCGCGTGGCCACCCACCTAATCGATGGTCAGACTTCTTAGTCAAGACCCTGAACAATCGGTTTGAGGCTCTTCGTGTTACTAGAATGAGCAGATGCCATTGGGCTATGCTAGCACACAACAGGGATGATTGGAGATGTTACTGGTGCCCGCTTGAGCAAATCAATGAGTAACGGGATATCAAGTGATCAAGTGATGTTGATAAGGTGTTACTATGTTTAATGACTTGCATGTATAACTCGATCCATGCATCTCTAGGATCCTATTTTTCCATGGTGTACGATCTTTTTGGTGTAATTTTGGATTCTGTTTGCTAATATTTTATTGAGGATCTTTATATCCATATTCATAAGTGATATAGGTCTATTGTTTTCTTTTTTCGTGAGGTCTCTGTCTGATTTTGGTATCAGCATAATGCTTGTCTCATAGAGATTGGGAGAAATCCTGTTTCTTCAACTTTCTGGTTTTATTTATTTGTTTGGAGACACGCCATACACCTTGTTGCTCATAGCTTATTCTAGGCTCTGTGCTCAGGAATCACTTCCATCAGGGCTCAGGGAAAGTTGATATGTGGTGTCTGGTGTGTTCAGGGCAAATACTTTATCTATTGTAGTATCTTTCTGACCCCTTCATTAGCTTTCTGAAAGAGCCAGAAAAGGGTTGTCTTTAAACGTTTGGAAGAACTGCCTAGTAACTCCATTTGGGTCAGGGCTTTTGCTTTAGGGGAGTTTTTAAAGTTTTATTCTAGTTTCTTTGATTGTATTTATCCTCTTATTATGGTCCCTTTCCTCTTTAAGATTATGAGAGCACAAAATTTATACATTTCTTCTAATGCCCCCAATTTTTTGGCATAAAAATTTTCATGGTTGTCCCTGATAATCCTTTGAATTTCTATAATATGACATTCGTTTCTGATTGTTTTTCTCTATCTCTTTCTCTCTCTCTCTTCCTCTCTTTGTCTAGTTGATGTTTTTTCAATCTTGTTTATTTTTTCAAAGAACCAGCTCTTTGTTTCATTGGTTTTTTTAAAATGATTTTTTTCAGTTTGAAGTTCATTGAGTTCTGCTCTATTTAATTTTCCTTTTATCTACTTGCTTTGGATTCCCTTTCTTGGCCTTTATCTGCTGCTTCAGCTGTGTAGTTTGATTATTTATGTGGTCCCTTTCTTGTTTCCTAATGAACATTAGGTTGCTGTGAACTTTCCTCTGCACACCAGTTTTTCTGTTTTTCGTATGTGATTCAGGTGTTCATTCTCATTTGTTTCTAGTAGTCATTTGATATCCTCTTTTACACACTGGGAGTTAAGTAGTAATTTTTTAAATTTCCAGTTGTTTGTACTTTCCCTGATCCTGTTTATGGTTAATATCATCTAAGTCTGAGAGAACAGTTGATAGTATTTCAATTTTATTGATCACTTGATCACTTGACTTCCCATTACTCATCGGTTTGCTCGAGCAGGCGCCAGTAACGCCTCCATTCGTCCCTGTTGCATGCTAGTATATCCCAATGGCATCTGTTCATTCTAGGATCATGAAGAGCCTCAAACCGATCATTCAGGGTCTTGACGAAGAAGTCTGACCATCTCGTAGGTCAGTGGCCGTGGCCATGTGGTCTTTTGACGTCCTGTGGAATCCAGTCAGTAATGGCTCTAGTCCAGCGGTCGTCTCTAAATCTCATTAAGTGTCCAACTCATCTGATTTTCGACGCCTTGGCAAACGAGACAGCAACCCTGATTCTAGACTGTCGATGGAGGTTGGAACTCTGCATTCTTTCTCTCATTTGAGTGAAGCGTGATACTCCAAGCATAGCTCTTTCGATTCCTCTTTGGGGGACCCGAATAGCGTTCTCATCCTGTTTTTGTAGGGCCTCGGTCTCTGGGGCATATGTTAATGCAGGAAGAACAATGGAATCGAAGAGATGTGCCTGGAGCCAAAGGTTTTTCGTCCTCTTAGCTATTACAAGGGTGATTACAGGCCCCCGCAAATGCCTCTATCCCTCTTGGAGAGCCTTGAAAGCTACCGAGAGTATCCCGTTTGCATGGTAGAGCTTGGCAAGCTATCTGTGGTGTATTCGATATGCCAAAACCAGTAAATTTTATTGATATCATGGAGATATGTTTTGTGACCCAACATCTGGTCTATCATGGAAATGTCCTGGAGAAGGATGTGTACTCTGTATTTTAGAGATGAAGGGCTTTATATGTACCTTCTGCCCATCTCTTCCTTTTTTCCTTCATGGCTAGTGTTTCTTTGTTGAGTTGATTTGTCCAGTTGTGACAGGGATTGTTTCTCTTACTGTGTTACTGTCATTGTCTACCTTCATATCTACTAACAGTTTTAGATAATTTGATGATTGATTATTAGGTGAACATAAATGTTTTGGAGTGTGTTCGGTATTGATTCCATGATCATTAAGAAATGACCATTCTTCTTTGGGGCTGGAGCAATGGCACAGCAGGTAGGGCATTTGCCTTTCACGTGGCCAACCTGGTTCGATTCCCAGCATCCCTTATGTTCCCCTGAGCCCTGCTTGGGATAATTTCTGAGTGCAGAACCCAGGAGTAACCCTTGTGAATCGCCAGGTATGACCCAAAAAGTCAAAAAAATGACCATTTTTGTTCTTATACCGTTGTACTGTGCAATCTGATAAAGCATGGTCACTGGAGTCTTTTTCTAAGGGAATTACTTGCTAATCAGATGCTTTACAGCCTTTGGCTTTGAGTCCCTGTTTACATGAACTGTTCAGGTATATATTTTATAGGCAGCAAAAAATGGGGTTCAGTGTTTTGATCCATTCTGCTACTCTGTGTCTTATGCCTCTATATACCCAAAAGGTGAGAGAGAGAAAAAAAGGGAATGCCCCACCCCACCCTGCCTCTTTGGCAGGGCATTCCCTTTTTCTCTCTCTCTCTCCTTTTGGGTTCCAGCTCAACAGTGTTTTTCTTAGTATAAAGTCAGCATGCTGACATCCATCCTCCATGTGTTTAGGGTTCTCTTTACTACCCGGGAGGTTACAGATTCTAGTCGTTTTGTTATCTAGTTTAGTCTTAAAGAATTCACTGGCATTTTTATGGATTAGATAGAGTTTATATAATGTTTTCGACAGGGTGGTCATTTTAGCAGTTAACTGAAATAGAAGAATGAAAAATTTCTGACATTTTAGTAAGTCTGTTACTATGTGATGCTGATGTAAGATGCTAACCATAGTGTTCTGGGACAGACCTTGCTCTGTGGGTGACACAGACCATGCTGCAGTTTTGTGTCCTCAGAGCACTGTGTCAAACCCTCAGGTGTGCAACACTAGACTGAAAATCACTAGGTGTAGCAGGTAGTTTGCTTTAGATTGCTGTGTGAAATGGGACATTGTACATGTTAGGACTTGTGAGATTTGACTTGAGATGGGGAGAGTGGGAGAACTGGGATATAGAGGCATTCAGATTGCATGCAGTTGGCCTGGATTTGCTCCCTGGCATTACAAATGATCCTCTGTTCACCACCAGGAGTAATCCCTGAGTACAGCTGCATGTGGCCCAAAGTGAAAAACAAAAAAAGAAGAAGAAAAAGGAAAAAAAAAGAACAAAATAAATTACTGCAATAATTAAGATAGAAACTGAAAGATCAAATCGGGTTATAACAGGATAGCTATAGAACCCAAAATGAGTCAGACTGGATTAGGGGCCAAAGAGATAGTACAGCAGGTAATGCACTTACTTGATTTGCATACAGCTGATCCTTGGCTGCACACATGGTTCCCCAAATATCACCCAGAGTATGTCCTGAGAACAGAAAGCCAGGAGTAAGCCCTGAGCACGCACTGCCAGGTGTGACCACTAAGGAACCAAAACAGAAACACTCCAGAGTAAATGATGTCAGGGTCACAGGCTGGACTCACAGGTCTTAGTGATCAGATATAGAGATATGGGGAAGGGAGAAGTTAAAGATGACTTTTTTAACTTTAGATTTCATGTCCTTAATGAATATTGAAAGAAATTTTTCTTTGGGGTGCAATGACTTCTTGTGAAGAACTTAAGAAAATGGAGGTTTCAAAATTCTTCAGGGCTGGAGTGATAGCACAGCGGGTAAGGTGTTTGCCTTGCACGCAGCCAACATGACCGACACAGGTTCGATTCTCAGCACCCCATATGGTTCCCTGAGCACCGCCAGGAGCAATTCCTGAGTGCATGAGCCAGGAGTAACCCCTGAGCATCGCCAGGTGTGACCCAAAAAGCAAAATAAATAAATAAAAATAAATAAAAATTAATTAAAAAAATTCTTCCTATTACTGTAATTCTGTAGGGTGTGTGTGTGTGTGTGTGTGTGTGTGTGTGTGTGTGTGTGTGTGTGCCGTGCTTTAGGAAATTTTATGCTTTAGGTTGCTGTCTGAAATGGGACATTGGAACATGTTATAACCTATTAGATTTGACTTGAGATTATTTCAGTTTTTACAAGTTTTTATATCATCATTTTAACATAACAGTATCTCAAATAACTTTTCAGTCTTCAAGAAAATTATGAAGCCAAAAGACATGAATTTTGTGGTGAACGCCACAAGAAGGAAGAAGAAATAAAGCAGATGTTTGTGAAGCGAGTAAAGGAGAAAGAAGCCATCCTGAAAGAAAGTGAAAGAGAGGCAAGTATGCTCGTTTGATGTCATTTTTCTTTTCCTTTTAATAGGACACCTAAAGGAAAATAATGTAAATTACATTATCGAAAGAATGTCATTGACTTGCTCTTATAGACAGTTTGTTCTTGAAAAGATTTTAACATTCTTTTGATACAAATTTAAATGATCTAAAATAAAAATTAGGGACTTTTTGAGAAACTAGTCTTCTGTTACAAACGGTCATCAAGAACTTGTAATGGACTACATTACTAAGAAGTGTTTTAACTATTTTAGACATTAGTCATGAATATTCGAGCTATGGCTTGGCAAAGCTTTTCTTTGAAAATTGTTGTAATTCTTGGGGTCAAATTTGAACTCAGTCTTTCTCTACAAGTCCCTGGGGTTTTTCCCCTTAGATTTCACATATATATATGTGAAATATATATATATATATAAATATATATATTTATATATATAATAAAACCCAAATTTCTTCTGCCTGCAACAGACACATCTGATCTCTCAGGTAAATTCTCACTCAGAGTAAAAGGTTGGAAAACAATTGCATGAGCTACTGGTACACTATGACAAGTAGAGATAGCTTTACTTTTTTTTATCCAAATACCATTCATGATGAAGAAAACAGTAAGAGGTAGGGATAAACACTGCATGCTGGTTAGGGATCAGCAGATCAAGAGAATTTAACTTTTATCCACATATATGGATGGAATCAAATACCAGCAAAGTTTATAAAGGTATAAAACAACTGCTAATATATCAGTAGAGCTGCATTGTCTGCACTGCAGTAATAATGGGAGACGTTAACACCCCCACTCTCATCATTGGACAGTTTGGTGAGTCAGTGAGTTTCTTTCAGGTAATAAAAAGCCCTAAATGAGAAATTTGGAGAACTGAGAATTTTCAATGAATTTTCAATATGTACAGGATCTTCTAAACATAAGAAAGCTGAACGTATGTTCTTTACCAAGATCACATGAAACGTTCAAGATTGATCACATGCTGGGACCCAATTTGAGTGCCTATATATTCACAAAAATAGGAGTCATATCAAGTATCTCTTTAGACCAAAATGAAAGTAGTTGTTACTGTGTTACTGTGTTTGGCATATCGAATACGTCATGGGGAGCTTGCCAGGCTCTGCCGTGCGGGTAAGATACTCTCGGTAGCTTGCCAGGCTCTCCGAGAAGAGGAGAGGAATCGAACTCGGGTCTACCATGTTGGCTGCGTGCAAGGCAAACGCCCTACCGCTGTGCTATCGCTCCAGCCCTGGGGAAAGATTTAACATTCAGAAACTACCAATATCAAAGAAGAAATAAAAATGTTTCTCAGAATGAGAAAATAAAAATATTTATGTGATGAAGCAAAAGTGTACTATGGAGGAAATTTATATCTCTATAAGTTTGCATCATGAAAGAAGCTCAAATCAGTACGTTAACCTCAAAACTTGACAAACTAGGTCAACAAATGAATCACAAAGTGAGTAGAAGAAATGAAATAAACAAAATCTGAAATAAGTGTCATAGAAATCAGGAAAAAAATACAAAGAATAATTGAAACCAGAAGGGTTTTAGTTAACCTCAGAAAATAGTTTTATTTTCTTCCTTTGTAATCAATTCTACTTTTCACCCACATTCCCTGGTCTTCAGTTCTAGAATTTTGCTCTTTCCAGAATGATTTTTCAGAATATTTTATTTAAAAAATCTCAGTAAGAAATCTTTTTTTTTATGTAGGAGTACTGCCATTTGTTTAGCTACTGATTAGCTGATTGCATTGGGCAAGAACTCCACCTAACTTTTTTTCATTTTTTATCATTTTATTTATTGAATTACCATGAGAGCAGTTACAAAGCTTTTGGTTTTAAGTCTCGGTCATACAATGAAACACCCATACCTTCACCAGTGCCCATTCTCCACCACCAAAACCCCCCGTATACCACCATCCCACACCCTTCCCCCTACCTGTGTGGCAGATGATTTTCAAATTACTCTCTCTCTACTTTGATCACATTCAATATTTTGACACCAGACTCACCATTATTATTTGGGATTTTATCTCAACACTCAAATCTGCTGAAAAGGCAATAGTAGACAATTTGTTTTCTATTGCTGGTTAAGAATAACATATGATGTCACATGGCTGCAGTAGTGGCCACGCGAGTTTGAAATTTCGAAATTTTAACACTTAAATCTGGAGGGATTTCTGCCAAAACCTGCTGGGTTCCAAGATTTGTTCCAGAGTCTCTGGGATCATGGCCTTTAAACACCTTGATCAGGAGCCAGAAAGTCTGTTCATGGGTGGCAACTCGGGTTCTCTTTGGGATGGGGAGGAAAGAGCCGGCTCTACCCCCATCCCATGAGGCCCCATGTGTCTCGTCAATGAGGGCCCAAACCTGACTGTCCAGTGGCCTCTGGCACATAGCGATCACCGAGCCACCAAGGGTGAGCAGGCGGAGGGACAGCACCCTTTCCCTCCTGGGGTGGCCCAGCAACAGAAACCTACTGAGGGGTCCAGACACCTTTCTGCCAAAAGCTGCTGGGTTCCGAGATTTGTTTCTGAGTCTGTTGGATCATGGCCATTAAGCAGCTTGATCAGGAGCCAGAGAGTCGCTTCATGGGCAGCGACTCGAGGTCTAGTTGGAATGGGGAGGAAAGGACCGGCTCCACCCCCATTTCTTGAGGCCCCATGTGTCTCATCACTGCAGGCCCAAACCTGACTGTACAGTGGCCTCTGAAGGATGGCAGCCACTGGACCTTCAGGGGGAACAGGCCAAGTCACGAAATCTATTCCCACCTGGGTTGGCCCAGCGCTGGTAACCTACTGCAGGGACTGGACACATTTCTGCCAAATGCCGTTGGGTTTCGAGATTTGTTTCTGAATCTCTAGGATCATGGCCGTTAAGCAGTTTGATTAGGAACCAGAGAGGCTATGCCTGCAATTATATAGCTGAGCCCGAGGTGTTTTGTGGGTGTGTCTCCCACATACCTAACTTTTGGCCATTTACTCTATTGGTGGGCTGGAGCGATAGCACAGGAGTAGGGTGTTTGCCTTGCACACAGCCGGCCTGGCCGAGCCAGGTTCGATTCCTCCCTCCCTCTCAGAGAGCCTGGCAAGCTACCGGGAGTATCTCGCCCGCATGGCAAAGCCTGGCAATCTACCCGTGATGTATTCAATATGCCATACACAGTAACAACAAGTCTCAAAATGGAAACATTACTAGGCCCACTCGAGTAAATCGATGAACAAAAGGGAGGACAGTGTTATACACACTTTCTTGGTAAACTTTGCCCCAAGTTTTTTGGATCTGACCAAAGCACAGCAACAATTTGGGGGTATCTGGAAGTCTCAAGGCACCATCAAGATGCTGATGCACTCGCCCCACAGGTACAGATTGACCTGCTGGTGACACCATACTCCCAACCAGAAGGGTTTTTTTTGGTTAGATTTTGTAAACAAACTGTTATAGTCAGGAAGAAAAAGAGAAACTCCAAATAAATTGAATCAGAGATTAAAGGGAGAAATTATGGCAGATACCTACAAAAATACAAAAGATTATGACCAATTCTGTGCCACTAAGCTAGAGAACTAAAAGAAATGGATGAATTCCTAGAACCACACATTCTCCCACTACTGAATCAGGAGAAAGAAAACCGACCAGCCAGAGGGATGGGATAGTGGGTAGCATGCTTGTCTTGAATGTGGCTGACCTGGATTTGAACACCAGCATCCCACATAGTCCCCCGAGGCCTGCCAGGGGTCATCTATGAGCAACAGAAAAAAATACAACCCCAAAAAGCAATGGTTATTTCTTAATCAAGGGATCTATCATCATGGAGAACTCACAGTTGTAAACATTCTGATCAACCATCAAAATACTTTAAACAGGTACTAATAGGCAAGAAGAAAGATACTGAAAGCAACTTAATAGTGGTTGGAGACTTTAACACTCCCCTGTCACACCTGGACAAATCAACAAGGCAAAAAGTCAGCAAGGAACACTGGCCTTGAATGAACAAATGGAAGACATGCACCTACCAAGTAGGTTTTATCACAAGGATGCATGGCTGTTTTAATATGTTTAAACTAGTCAGAGTAATGCTCTGTATCTGTACAAAGAAAAATAAAAGCATTATTATCATATCAATAAATGCAGATAAAGCATTTGAAAAGATAAAGAAAAGTGTTCTATTATAATAAAAACAATAAAATGAGAGAGAGACTGCTCAAAGATTTTAAAACTACAAACTCAAAATTAACTTCATAGACAACAGACATAAACTGAAAGCTTTCTAACAGGCACAAGACAAGGTTGCCCACCATCTCAACTCTTATGCAATTATAATGGGATCCTTGCCTTAGCAATTCAGAAAAAAAAGATTTAGAACATCTAGATAGGAAAAGAAGTCAGTCTATCACTATTTACCATGAGATGATACTAAGAAAATCAAAATGATTACAAAAAAAACTGCCTAGAAACAATGAACATGTACAGTTAACATCGCAGGCTACAAAGTAAATACAGAGAAAATCATGGCACTCCTAAATTCAAACAATGGAATAGAAGGAAAAAAATTTAAAAACTATCCCTTTCACAATTGCACTTCAAAGTAAGTATCCAGGAATTAGATGAACAGAAGAGGTAAAATATTTATACAAAGAAACCTAAACCACTACTAAAATAAATCAGAGAAGACACAGAAAATGGAAACATACCCTGATCTTGGATTTCAAGTATTGATCTCATAAATGATGACATTCCTACCCAAAGCATTTTATGAATGTAATGAAGATCCTGTTAAATACCCATGACATTTTTCTGAGCACATAGAGGAACTGTTGTTGAGATTTATGTGTATTGGCCAAAGCAGCCTTAGGAAAAGAACAAGATGGGTAACTTCTTTTTCCCCAAATTGTTGAGTACCTCCCTTTCATTCACCTGATCCACATTGAATTCCTGATACCTCATATAGCTTGTGGAGCACTTCCAGGAGTGATCACTGAAGACTGAG